AGGTTGTCTTGATGAAGCCATATTTAATACAACAGGATTTGATTGAGGATATCGATTTTTAAAACACATTAAAACATCAAGACAATCACCATCAACAACAAATATGGTAGACGGTTGTTCATAAGTTCGTTGCTGAAGATCTCTATCATAATTATAATCATTTTCATATTGTTTTGTATTTTGAGCTGATCTAGCCATTCTAGATTTGTCTAAATTTATTTTAGTAGTATCAGGAAGTCGATAAAAACTATAAAAAATGATATGATAATATTATTTAGCAAAAAAAAACCTTTTTTTTTATTCTACTCCTATACCCATTGCATACAGCATTGATTGTCTGTATTTGCACAACTTTACGCATCCAACGTCGTGTATTTGGACGAATTGTTGTCGAATTCCATAATGCTGCAAATTGTTCATGATTATGTAAATGACTAAGTGCAAAATCACGTGCATTATCATCATTTGACAAACGTATAAGTTCTATATCTGAAAAAGTAGCATCTTGAGGGTCTCGAAGTGATGCTGGAATTTGCAAACCAAATGGTGCACTAATCGATTGATTTTTTGTATTTCTTTGCTGGCGTTTATGAGTATATCCATGTGCCATAATAGGTATTAATATTTCACAAATGAAAGAATGTTTTTTTTTTCAAATACTAAATGACGATATATAAATAATTGTTCTTTCATAAATCACACGATGATTACGAAATTATATCAATTCTTAAATCAATACATGATTACGAAAATATATTATTTCATAATTTGATAATTAAAAAAATTAATAATTCATAATAAATATGAATAAAATACCCAGTTTTAACAAGCATATTTTCATAAAAATAGATTGTAGATAAGCTTTTCCATCATTTATTGTCACTGATGAATCATCTTTCAAATTATTCTTTCTTGATGTTATGTTGTTTCTATTTATTACCGTTGTAGGACAATATGATGCAATTACATACAAGTATAGAAGAGGGCGCACATAACTTTTATCGAATTGAAATTGAATAATATTTCTTTTTTTGAATATCAGTATATCAAAAAGGACTTCAAATAATACATAT